CTCTCTCTCTCTCTCTCTCTCTCTCTCTCTCTCTCTCTCTCTCTCTCTCTCTCTCTCAAATTAAATGTGAGAAATGAAAATGTATGTGTACAACGTCGGGATATTAAAACGTGAAAAGAAATTGTGATACTGTCGCGCACCAGATACTGTCAATGGAGAAATCCATTCGACGCTGGGTATCAAGAGGGGCAAAAATGCACCGGCGTTCATGGATATTCATTGAATGTTGCGTTTGCGCATTGACGTAAGAACGAGTAACGCACGATAAACATGCCAACTAAATAATTATCGCGGCGAGATAAAGGCCCCTGTCATAATGCAAAACGGCCGATGATCTATGCAGCGATGATCCGCGGCGGCGCGGGATCCGTATGCGCCGCCCGAGGACGCGTGGGTTAAACATCTTGTAACCGGCCGATGCTGTCACCGATCGGCATTACGCTATTAATATCAATCAGATCAATGTCAACTCGTTTAATCTGTGCTAGCCCAAGTGTCACGGAGACGATAATTCGCCCGCAAAAATGGACACAAGGCTCTTTCGATCGTGCGTAAATTCGACTTCGATATCTCTCTCTCCCCCCCCCTCTCTCTCTCTCTCTCTTTCTCTTTCTCTCTCTCTCTCGCGCGCGCGTAAAACACGCGCGTAATCTGAATTCGAATCCGGACTCTAATCGATCGCGCGCGTATCGAAATCGTACGATCGTAGTCTCGAAATTACTCGCCCAGTGAATCTGAAGAGATAAAAGGACGATAAAATTTCGCGACGTACCTCGCGCGACTTTTGCGACTCCGTCCTCGGTGGAGTGCATTGAACTCGCGGAAAAAAGAGAGAGAGAGAGACGTTTATCACGTCGATCGATCGTTCTGATCCGTCGCCGTTATCTACGAGGCAGCCGAAAAGATTGATATCTCGTAATTGACAATATGCACTCCACGTGTACTGGCGCGATACCGCACGCAATATTACATGCCCGATAACCTCCCTCGATAATTGCGCGCAGCGTGCAATGTCCGATAATTGCTGAATGTTTAAACGTAAAAAGAAAGAAGAGACACGAAGAAACGCAATCGCAATCGCTCGGTGATCTCGCGCGGCGCATAACAGACAAAACAATACGTAAAGATTATATAATGTTTTCCTCCTCGCTGTCCTTCCCCCGAAGAATCCGAGTTATTCCCATTGGGAGATCAAGAAATCGCGGTTATTACGAATCGCGCGAAGGAACACGGCGTTTTACCGAGGATGATTATTTCATTTTACGATTTTCAGACAGCGGACTTTCTTTGGAAAGTTACGTTACGGCGCTACGTTAAATATCATTTAACGACCTAAAATGTATTTTTTCCCCGACTCATTTATTAAACGCACCTGCTGGGACTCAACGAATTCCAACGAGCCTTTAACAGTCTCCGTCTGATCTAACTTTTCCTTTCTTTTTTTTTCAAAATTAAGAAGACCACGAGCGCAATTTGTTTATTGCGTTTTGAGCAAAGTAAATCGAATTTCTATTCATACGGTAAATAATAGCCGAAGTCCTGCGCGAGACAATGACGGCCTGTCGAACGACTGGTATTTATTCAAATGTTGAATATCCTAATTATCGTAGGAGACACAAAAGTTATTAGGCTTAGGTCGATCCCTCGGTCGTTTGTTAAGATCAACAAATAAAAATTAAACGTAGGACAAAGACAAAGGGTGAATATTTTCGCTGCTGGAATAAAAGTATAAACACGATAGAATAAAAGAATTATACGTAATTCCTCTCTCTTTTCGATCTTATACTTACTTTGGAGCGCCCAGGGTGTGTACCTCTCGAGCGCCTTCAGGTAGATTTCGCCGTCGCGGATGCACTCGGAGGAGGCGAACTCGCGAGGCACGAAGGGCCTCGTGAGGACATCCGCGAGGACGACTTCGGGCCTCGTGCCACCGGCCACCCCCGTCCCCAGCGGGACCAAGAGAAGACTCACGCACACCCTCCATCCCAGCCTCATCGACTCCATCCTCCTTGAATCTCTTCGCTCTTCCGATATTAATAAAAATTTCGTATCACTCGTCTCTCTCTCTCGCTCTTGAAGTATCTCTACGGAAGAAATCGGTCGCAGTTAGGCACATTCGAATCGGAGAGGGTCAACGCGACACGTGACTCGTGCCCCGGCGGCATACAATTATCTCTGACAACTGTGTCCCACGAATTATAACAGCAATTCCCGCACCTTCGAGCCCCGATTTGTCAAGGCAATTTCGCTGCGCGCGCTATTCGGCTTCCACCTCGTGGAACGGCGTGAATTTTACACGAGGAGGAAATGGCGGTATACTGAAAACGGCCGATTCGTCGGGCTCGCCACGTGGGCCGCGTGGCGGGCGCGTCGAAAGGGGTTGCGCGTCGCGTCGCGTCGCGTTCGCGCTCCCGTTCCGCGCGCGTGTCCTCGCGGGCACGTGCGCGACCGAGGTGTATCCGCCGCCGTGTGAAATAAACGAAGGAAACACACAAAACACGAAACGCCGACTGACTGTGGCGTGCACGTTCCATCGGCGCGCTGGTTCACTTATATATTGGACGAACGGATCGTGATGGGGGTAAGGGAGGCATTCCGTGCTCCTCCGACTGCCGTGGCCATCTCGGGTCTCCTCTTATCGATGTAAGCGAGGATTACGCGTCCGCGGAGAGAAACGTCGCCACCGCCGCCGCCGCCGGCCGCCGGCCGCCACCTCCGCCGCCTCCGCCGCCTCCGCCGCCGGAGAGTGGGAAGAGCACAGCGACGGCGACGACGGCCGCGACGGCCAGGAATTCGAGAATGGCGAGCGAGACGAGAACCTGCGGAAATCTGCGGATGGACGGCGACCAGGTGCAGCTGCTCGCGAGCTACGGGCAATAAGACACGTAATATCCGCCGATACCGCGATCCGATGAATTGATTATCGCACGCCGGTCCCTCCATTCTTCTTGACCTCATCTTTCCTCTTTCCTCTACTTTAATTTTCTTTCTTACCTCGTCGCGCGACGCCTCCTATCAATTTTTACCTTCCTTGATTCCTTCCTCGACTCTCTTTCCTCTTCTTTACTCTTGCCGTTGCCTTTTTTCCGAGGAGGAAACCGCTGAGGGCATTGTGGTGTACATAGGGCATTTTTTGGACATTAGGTCTTGCTGGAGCATTATAAAGATAAAATAAGGTAAAATAAGATAAAACAAGATAAATAAGTTAAAAGAAGATAACAAGATAAAGTATGCCCACTGGGCATTAGTGGGCATTGGTGTACAAAATTTTCGTCAGCGGTTTCCCCCTCGCTTTTTTCCTTAGTTTCTACGGTATTTTCTTAATTTCATACTTCAAGTGTCTTTTACTTTCTTCTTCTTTCCAGATCTCTTCAGTCTCCGTTTACATACATGTTCGACTTTCACATCTCCGCAGTATTGAATGAAGATTGAAACATTAATGCCGCAATATATTCAGAGATTAAAATAGAAAAAAAAATACATTAATATTATGTTTTTATACGTTTGATAATGATTTGTGATGTAAATTGGAATTAAGAATAGTGCGTCATGTATTACGCTATATATTTCATATGTTTATACGTCATTATATTAGTTACGTTACGAACGTATACAGAAACTGAGAGCCATTCAAAGCCTCAAGGCAAGGATTAAATATATTAATAAATTGTATATATAAAATTACACGCGCGAAAGTATGTGTATACACGTCATTAAAAATATTCGCGAATAAATGGCGCGTTCGAAGCGTATATATAATTGAAGAAGTTACGTCACGAGTGAATATCTTAACGATCCGGGCTGAATTTTACTGTGGGCGTAAGGGTGACGATATTTGGCCCTTCCGAGATAGAAAGACGAAACTATTCCTCCATTCGTTAATAATATTAACACAAATTCGTACGCTTCTTCAAGCACCGACGAATCATCACGAGTCTTATCGAGACGACTTCAAATTTCTCTGTTCTTTATCCGAGGAATTACGGGTCTCCTTCGGAAACGATATTAAATTATATAAATTAGTATACGGGATAAGACAAGCGGAACGATAAGAGACAGTAACATAAATTCGTACGCTTCTTTAAGGATCGATGTCTGAATCGATCCATTCGTGGATCATCACGAGTTTCATCGATACGATTTCAAATTTCTCTATTCTTTGTCCGAGGAAATTGCGGGTCTTCTTTGGGAACGATATTAAATTATGTAAATTGGTGTATGGGATAAGACAAACGGGATGATAAGAGACTAAAGAAAGAGTGGAATCAAGTTCGACGAAGTCAGACTGCATCGTATTATCACATACATTTTTTTTT